AGCATTCTCTGTGTCTTAGTCAATGAATACAGGGCTGATAGACTATTGAGGGAGGAAATGTGAGTAAAATCCAAGGTAGCAACTGGATATCATGACACTGGTATGATCGGCATCCAAAGAGGGTGGCGGTGAGTCCTGAAGCTTGATAGCTGATCTGCAATGGGCGTGCAGGCTATTTGGAAGCAGATTGCAACTTTCTGCGGCCAAATGTGCCCAAGCATAGCATACGCGCACGATTGCCTGGAGCGTTGGCGAGGCCTCCAGCCCACAGGCATCAGGCATTAAAGCGTGTTGCGTGCGTTCAGGTGATGCGTCATAGAAGTCGCGGGACTCAGAGGAATTGAATATGTAAGGCGCGGCAGGGCACAAACATCTCGTTGTGGATGAGATTGTGGGAGATCGAATCAATCCACACACCCGACTTACTCTGCCTGTCTGTCACCACAGGTTCTTCTGCTGGAAAGTGATTCCACACTCAGGTTTTGACCACGGTCAGAGGCCACCTCTATACAACTGGTTTGAAATGAAGACGACTCCCATTCACCATATTAGACTGGTTGCTGAGTATGCTTGGATGTTAAGGAGGTGACAAATGCCCGGGATACACTACTTACGGCAGGTCTACAGCAAATATCTAATGTCCCCGCGCACTTATTTGACACAGCTATCCTCTCTGCTTCTCTCAGTCCGCGTCCTGCACTCTTACTGTGGCTTTACACTTGCATGACATCTGGCGCGGCCAGGTTGGCAGGACAAGGGCCTTGTAGCAAGCATAAAGTCTCATCCTCCTAATAAAGATGACCTGCTCTAGCCAGTAGAGCTCCAGCACAGTGTTCAGATGGGGAGGGGGGAGAGAGAGCATCGAGGATAGCCTGTATGAGAGATCCCGGATCCCCCAAGAATCTCAATCTAGCAACCAACCCCTGAGGTGTGACATTCAAGCCAGCATCTGCGCGAGCAACGACAGGCGCTAAAATACCAAAAACAGTAATTTTAGGATTTTCTGGAGATTTTTTGTTGAATTTATCTCGATTCTGGCCCAGATTTTGGTGCAAAGTTCCGTGACAAGACCCAAAAATTACAACCCTTGCAGAGGACTGTGACGCGTGACGTTGCTCCCATTCAAAGTACAGTAGATGCACTCTAGATATGATTAGCATGTTATCTAGGCGCCCCGAGTCATCGGGATCCGGAAAAACCCGCGCTGCTCACACGATGTTCCCGTTATAGGTGCTTTCTTCCTCTGCAGGACATTCTAGCGCGTTCTGTGCACGGTACGAAACAGAACTTACCATTGATTGAACACTTGAGGGACAAATGGAGATAGAGTTATTGGGCGTCACTCGGTACTCGCCGCAGCGTCGTGTGCTCAAACAGAGTTCTGTTGCAGAAGGCCCGGAAAACCTAGGCATATCCACATATCCACATCCGCGAACGAAAGCAGACAGTTCCTTTCAGTCGTTGGCTCGCATAGTGGATTCGGAGCTGCCTTGTCATGGGAAAATGTCTGCTGCCCTCGACGACATGGGAACCCGATATGCGGGGCTGGTACGAGCTAATACGAACCCAGCTGAGAACTGTTCGTGACGTTCGATTGCCGACCAACTCTCTCCACTTCTTGTGTCAGCGTGCGAGGGGACGGCGGAATGCTGGCCTCTTGATGCATGGAAATGCAGGCTCTTACCGATGAAATGAATGTGAACCATGCGCCGATGATACCGGGAGCCCATGCAGACATGACGTATGAAAGTAGCATCTCCTATGCTTCTTTGCTGGGAGCACCGCAGTGGCACGACTGTCCCCGAGGACTCCTTTTACCGCTCCGCTGTCACCCTCGGGGGTGAGTGGCGAGCATCGACGAGACGGGCATCCCGGTCGTACATTCGGAACTGCGTTTCGCGGGGCCGACGCAGGCTTCTCACAGCCAAATGGTCCAGTCGACGATGAGGCCGCTGAGAAGTCTTACATCATACATTGACGTAACATCCTTCAGTGACGGCGTTGCAGATAGTATAGGCCCCCTGCTTGACGACACTCATGACCCGCAGACACGCAAGATAGACGTCACGCTTTCCCATGACTCGAATGGTCACTAGCACTATGCGTCGCGGATATCGTTTTCTAACGGGATACTCAGCACTGGGAACGTTGATGAGTATTCCAAAAGTAATTATTGCCTCGCGGCCTCGTGGTGAGCGTTCAGTATTTCAACTACCTTCGCGGGTCGCTCAGCTCTGCGCCGAGTGCCAACCACGTTCTACCAGGCAAGGGTCCGTTCTCTGCTTCAGTACGTGTGGTATTTGATCGTATTTGTTCCTTCGTGCCAACCAGACGCCCGAGCCGGAGGTATAGCGGAGGGCCCGCGGGGTATTGAGCTATTCTCGCGCTGCGCTCGCGAGTCCGAGCTGACCGAGTTCCGCCACCTGTGAGTGACTTTTTGGTGCTTCGCCCTGACACAAGCAGCATTGCAGGGTCCAGTCTTCGTCGTATGATGGCGACCGCGCAACGCCGCCCTCCAACGGTGCTCAGTGCGCTCTACATACCGAAGTGTCGTGTCGCGCTTCCCATAAGAGACCTGAAATTCTCATCCATTGAGAATACCCCTTTCCGCTGCTGGCGCTGTCTTTGTCTGAGAGCGTCTCATCTTCGACTTTGAGAGGTCAAGAGAGCATGCTTCCATTTCTCGGATGCACCCCGGACGAGCGCGCGTAGTGCGCCCACTCATCAAGCCGCGGGAGGGCTCGAACGCTGCGAACACACGTGGGAGTCACGGCCCGAGGCAGGGTCTGCGGTAATCATCAGCTCGCACGGAGTATCTTTCTGCTAACATTGAACACAGAGCCGCGCACTAGGCTGCCGAGTGAAGAGTGTGAAGCTTATTCTATTCCACTGGTAGCGTCGAAATAGGGACTGAGCTAAATGCCCCTCGAATCTAATCACTGCGTGGCAAGCGTGTCTATCAGCGGTTATTGCTCCGCAGGAGCGCTATCCCCAACATATATCCGAGGTCGCCATGGCCAGCGACTATCCCTGTAAGACTCGCCAGACCGAACGACCAACCCCTTCGACAATGGCAAATTTACACTTGGGAGCCGATGCAGCTCTGAACGGAGCAGGGTAAGACTCACAGCTGCTTCTGCATTGCTACAGTTTCACTTACGGTCAGCTTTCGCGGTCGCAAGGTTCTACTGCATGCCCGAACCCCAGCATTGTCCCTCTTCCGCATATCCTCCGATTCGACCTATGGTTTCGAGTGTGCTCAACGGTAAGCGCAAACGGGTCGTCGCCACCTGCCGCTTCACTAGCTGATGCGGAGCAGAATGTATAATCGCGGACCGCGGCCGGCTCCAGCTGCCGACACTCGCCGCGCCCTTGACAGCTGGCACGCCCCCGACAATCACCGCACCCCTGATAATCACCATGCCTCAGACAGCTGAAGAACCGGGCTGCCTCGTAGCAATCAAGAAGTGGCTCCGCTGCTGCTGTCGTGCGGATTAGAGCTGGTCCTTTCTTCCGGAAAGCTCGATGCAGAACCCAGATAATTGAAAATGTAGCTGGGTCCTGTATCGCGCCTCCGTTAGGAAGGTATCATATGTACAACGAGGGCAATTACTATGGCTCGTTGATTGGGGGG